GGACATCATTTCAGTGAGGACGAACAGAAGAGTTTTGAAAGCAGTCGAATATTCAAATAATTGAAAAAAGACTGCAAAAATAGTTGAATAGTTGAGTCGAAATTTCGAGTTTCGCATTACTAAAAGACGCAAGGATCATAGTAGCTATTCATACCGGACTGCTGTTGTATGTGTGAAAAATGATCATGAATAATGGACATTACATAAATAACAAGAACGATGACAATTTTTTGGTTAGTTTTGAAAAAGGTTGAAATTGACGAGGACCGTTCTCGAGACATCATTTGGAAGCGCAAGTTTTATCTGAAGTATAACCCAATCAGTCGAGGGTAATGCGAGTCTCCCTCGACGAGCGTTATTTATTAGATAGTGACCCAATTTCTCAAGTTCTTCGAAAATAGACTCATCTAATTACATTCCTCTCGTTACCCGCTGAATCACGACCAAATTCACTGAGATTCCTTCGATTTGTGGATATATATGTGTTGGCTTTAAAAAGGATACTCGGTAGTATTGGTATTATGACATCACTCTGCTGATCGAAGTAAATGTCAATTACCATTTATACACGCGATTTATGAAAATGTATCTCCATTTCACACACTTTGGTATTTTATGTTCATAACCAATCAACTTATCTTTTGATGAAAATGTTCATTTCAGTTATTCTCCAAGTGATTATGCCACACAAATGTCAATAAATTCGATGAAAATCGAAGAAATTGTTGTTGTTTTCAATTCGGATCGTTCAGCAGTTCCATTTGAGTTCATGTTCAAACTCTATTTGGATGAAGAATTAGCTAAATTAGCACAAGCTCGATCGAATTTGATCAAGCGAAGAGTCGTTTGAGTGTATTTTATGACTGGCAAAGTGGACAAATAATGCTCGTGAGTTCAGAAATTCGCACATCTTTACAATCTTTAATGAACATAACGCTTTCATGAGAAAAAGAAAATTTTCTCTATGGATTTGGTTGTCTTGTTTCACATATCGCTTCATTGACGAACAATCCAATTCTACATCTCTGAGACCATATCAATAAAATCATTTTGAATTTCTTCGATGAATTCTATTCTTTTAGGTTTAGTTCCTACTTCTGCTTGTCCATCAAAAAATGTTTCGTGATTGTCAGTAAGATAAATCGGAATATCTTCATCCAAATACATGTTCATGTCAACAATAATGAACAATTCAATGTTTGACTTCTACTTCTCTTCATACGAATTGATTTATTTATGAAGGAAAAAAGCTAAATTGAAAATGTGATGTTTATACTGAAAAGAGTGGGAATCGAAGTTCTTATTCTGAGTGATTGTGTTTCGGTGGTGTCGTGACATCACCTGCATTTGCAACACCCATATTTTCAAAAGCAAATTCCCAAATCGGTTGTAAATTTTGATAAAATTCTTCGAATGACAATCGTTTATCATCATCATAAGCTAAATAATCATCAACTTCATTATCTGGTAAACCCCATTGAATTAATAATTTTTGTAATTCAGGTAAATCAATAAAACCACTTTGATCATGATCAAGATTATCAAAAACAAATTTTGCTCTTGCAAGACCTTGTTTTTCATCACCTTTCTTTCGGTGAGTAACAGATGTTGTGCCTAAACGCCAAATATTATTATAAAAGATATTGAAATGAATATCACCCTTTTTTGACCAAGTAGAAAATCGTTTCATTAAGCCTTCTGCAGCTGCCCATTCTTTCAACAAACAACAAACTTCATCATAATCAAGTGTGCCATTCTTATTGTAATCTAATTGATCAAAGACTAATTTCGCTTGTTGTCTATCGGTTAATTCTTCATCTTTGGCAAGTTTTGCTATACGAATCTTCTCATTGATCCAAGCTTTGTGAACACTTGAGTTCACCAAGAGATCACGTGTTCGTTCGCTGACGAAACGAACACGTTCTTCTTGATTTGGCTGAACAATGGCAAAGTAAAGAACAATACTAAGTGCAACATAACCCAAGAATAACATATTGGCTGAAACACCGAGAACAGCTGGAAATAAAATCAATCCAGATGTTAAAATGGAATTCGTATAAAGTGTATCTTTGAATAAACCAACAAAACCATAGAAAAAATAGAAAACACGACACCAAACATAAATATTATGAACAAGAAACATGTTCAATAGCCAATAGACGGAACTTGGAGCAAAATAAAGATTTAAAGCACAGAATAAATGAAGAGATATAGCAAATAAATAACCTGATACCATCAAAGCTTTCGCAACAAACACAATCGATGTTTGATAATACGCCGAAGAAACATGACCGACAATTGCTGCTAGAGATGCAATCGTTGCAATTCTCTCATTACCTGTTACAAACGCAATCCAACAGGTGATGAATTCGGTAACACCTGAGATGATATGGGTATAAATAGCTAAACGTCGTTGAGGTAACATAATAAATTTGGGATGAGGAGCATGAGTATAATGATAATACAAAACAAAAAGATTAAAGAAACTTGAAATACTGTAAAATGCTCCCAAACTTAGCAGAAGTACAACGAAATAGTAAATATAAACACTTCGTCCTTCTTGAAACGCCATTTTCAACCAACAATTGAGATAAATTCAACTTTACTTTTATCTCGAAGAACAGAGAGAATATAGAGGAAGTAACTAATACACTTCTCAAACAGTTTCGTAAACATTAAATAGCCTCACATATATCTACGAAGAAACAAAACCAATGATGCGAAGATACATTTTTGTTATTCTTCAGTCATGAGTAAACGTATAAGTCAATCAATCAAATTCATTCAATTTGATAGAGCCAATCATATAATCCAAGAAGCGATTTATGAATATCATTTTCAAAATAAGATTCGGCAATTGAAGATAAAAATTGATGTCGAAGACTATTCGAATGTGAAATGGTCAGACGAAAAGAAAGTTCGATTGTGAATGAGATTTGTTTTTTTTGTCTTTTGTTTTAGTAAAGCGGATTTCACAAATGTTTCTCGTGAATCAGCACATTTTCGAAATTTTACCTAATGAATATAGAAGTATCATATTTTAACTGGAATTGTTGTAATTTAGAGAAGTAGAAAAAATTGAAGGTGGAGTAAAAGCATTCTGATGAGATCATCAATAGAGTTACGCTTTTTGGACATGTGACGAAAGCCTCATGTAACGGTCAAATGTCAAACTCGATGATTCTTTTTAGATGCTTTGATCGAACACGAGGATGAGACGAAATGTCAATTTTTCGTGCAAATTCACTTCTGTTTCATGACAAAAATAGACGCAAAAAACTCTCCTCTCATGTCAATCAATTTCGTTTCGTCTGAAATGCTTTTTGTGCAGGAGTCAAATCAATGACATATTTTCGTTTTTTTATCACAATCATCGAGGTTATCGAATACAAATCGAAGGATTTACATCCAATCAACCTCTTTGATACGTATAACAACTGGGAAGGATTGTACGATAGATATCACATGAAGTCAATAAGAAGAATCTGAAGTATCTAAACACAGGCATGTGGAGAGAAATGTGCACATTTTCTTCTCCTTTGACGACTATTGCGATACGATCATATATTTACATGTGCTGAAAGACGATTTCTTTTCTTCTTCTGTGTATAACGTTGTGTGGACCAGTTGATACAATCATTGTTTTTCTTCATCATTGAAAAAGATTTGTAAAATGTCTTCAAGTACATTTGTATTGATATCTGGTGGTTGGCATCCATCAGCTTGTTGGGAACGTGTTATTCCATTACTCGAAGCACAAGGACATTATGTTATTGCTCCCGAACTTTTGGGTGTTGGAACTGATCAAACATCACTTAGTCAAATCAAATTAAAAACATGGGTCGATCAAATTGTTGATCTTATTCAAGTTCAATCGAAACCAGTTGTTTTAGTTGGTCATAGTCGTGCAGGAATTCTTCTTAGTGAAGCTGCACAACGTATACCCGATAAAATTCAACTACTCGTTTATTTATCTGCATATTTATTAACATCTGGTCAGACAATCTCAGATACAACAAAGAATAAAAAACAAACTGTAGCCACGACCATTCATCTAAATGGAACAATAAGTCTCAAACCCGATTCGATAATTCCCATATTTTATAATACAACATCTGCTGAATGGGCTCAACGGGCATTGACTTTGTTATCTTCAGCAGAACCAGTTGTTGTTTACAGAACACCAGTAGAAATTACCGATGATCGTTTTGGACGTGTTCCACGTGCTTATATTGAATGTCTTCAAGATAAAGCCATTCCATTGGATCAACAACGTGAAATGCAAAAGCAATTACCTTGCAAATATGTTCTCACCTTGGATACGGATCATTCACCTTTCTTTTCTGCACCATCTCAACTCGTCACAAGTTTAATTGATCTCGCCAATCGACAATGAAAAGCATTGCATCAGATCTTTTCACGATTTGTTCTATAAGTAAAAAAAAAGTGCATCATAAGGTAGGATGTGAAAGATCTTTCAATTGTGTGATTTTTTTTTCTGAAAAAAGCGATAGATTATGCGTGATCGTTTTCTCTAAATATTTTCACTGTTTTGATTTTCTTTGTGAAATTATACACACATGAAAAATGTAGTAAGAGAAATATAATTTCATTTTCCTCTTCCTTTTTACGCTTTTCATCTTATCTTTAACATTATGTTTTATGAGATTCAAAGTGAAGTTTCCGGATGAATCCCGCCGCTTCGAAAGGATTATTTATCCGTTTTTTTCTGTCTTTTTTTCGGTGTTACTGCTGACATCAGACAAGTAAAGTACATTGATTTGTTTTTGAATTCGCATTCGGCAAAGTGATGATTTCAAAAAGAAATACTTCTTCCTTATGATATCAAAGATTTTATTTGATGAAGTATCGACTGAGATTAACATTTTTTTGAAAGATAAAGCAAACGTAAAATGATTAACTCACGAAACAACACAATGATAATATAAATATTCGAAAGATATGCTCTGTCTATATGAATCATTACAGAAATATAGTTATGTGTCAATCTTTGGCAACTGTATGTTGACCTTTCTCTGTCATTTTTGAACTATCCAATCAATCAGCTTCACAATCGTTGGAATAACAATTTTTAAAATCTTTATGAGACCTCCAACAAGACCAATCAGTGCTGTTATAACATAAACTATGCTATTCTTTGCTTCATGTATGTAACTACATTCCTTTGGTTGACATTCATCATAATAGTTTTTGTATGTAATTGAAATATTCCATTGTTCGATCATTAATTCATCAAGAAGTTGTTCGATTGTTGAGTTAATCGAGTAATGTGTTGATAATGATGAATCGAGAGAAGTAAGATTGATTGATGTTGATGAAATGAAATAGGATTGTAATTGATTTAAACAATTTCGATCATAGAAACATTGCAAATTGGACTGAAGAAGAGCCTCAACGATGAAACATCCTCGATACATGCCAGGTACCGTGTAAATAGGTGTAGTATTCGGATAGTTGAAAATTGGAAACGGTCTCAAGCATTTCGCGGAGACGATACAGCTGCAATTTGAGTATGAATATCCGCCTCTAGCTAAAGAAGCACTTCCAGGTAGTATTACCAATTGGTAATTGGTTACTAATGCAGAATAAAGACCATTACTCTGAGTTGTGCTTCTTATGGCGTTCAACGAAATAATGAAGGTATTTGTGATTGACGATTTGAACTGATCGACGAGTACTTGAACTTGTGAGTTGAACAGATCTACTGGCGTCACTGTCGTGCTCACATACTGATTCAATGAAAATGTTATCAAATTATCAGTTATCACTTTGTTCGCTAGTTCACAGAAACCAGCCAGTGTTGAAAATGAATTTGCACTTGACCAACGAAAATCCGAGGAAAAGAACACCTCGTCTTGGAAAAAATTGATGATATATTGAATCCATTGTAGAGTGACATACATGCTGGTACACACTTGATGTAATGTGTAATCAATGTGAAGAAACGTGTCATAGTTGGTTAGTATTTTTGTACATGGACATGTTAATGATTGTGAATAAAGTGAATAATGTTGTAAATACTGATCATATGTTGGATTTGGAATGGTCGATGTTTGAATGATTGTAATGAGCGAATTGTATAAGAAGAGAATGATCAATGAAGAGAGAAGAAAGAAAATGAATATTCTTGTTGATATCTTTTGATTTCGAAGTTGATGTTGATCAGTTGTAGGTGGAATTGACTCAAACAGATTTAACGTTATAAGATACTGTTTTAATTTTTGAATTAGACTGCGGCTCAGTTCATCGGGATTTTGAACTAAAATAAAAAAAAAACAAGTGAACAGATGTTTTCGGAATATATTTTCAGACGAGCATAACTATTTTTAGAAATGGGCAACGGATTCTGTTTGGAAGGAGAAACGCGAGTTCCAGAAAACATCTTACGTTAGTATGTGAGTGGAAGTCAGACAGACGATCTTAGTTGTTAAGTGAAGATTGATCTAAGGAGAGTTGCGATAGAGATAGGAGAGTTGTGATTGGAAGATGAGGGTCCTGTGTTTCGTGAATGGATTTGGATGGAAATCTGTTATCTGATCTGCGATAATGGGTGAAACTTTGTATGGACTGGAATCATTGTTTACGACATAGACATAGATGACTAATGAGCAACATTGTTAGATATGAAATTATAGCAGGTGTTAGGTGAGGACAACTGCCGCAATTTACGACGAGATCATACTCGAAGTAAAATGAGTCTCTGTGCGAGAAAGGATCATGAGAATTATGAGGCGTTTAGGAATAATAATAACAGGCCCCTGTTGCTATTTAACGGGTGATAACTGATGTTAAAATATTTGCTAAGACAATTATGAGTATTACAAAGATCAAAATCTACAACACAAAGAAATACGTATTCTCTTGCGTGTTTTTAGATGAAAAAATATTTGAATTCTTTACTACAACGATAAAGACAAATTCTTTTTGTTTCAATAGTTGTTGAGGGTGAGCTTATCTTTTTGGGAAATGAAACATTTTAATGTAAATGCGAAAATGTCGCTAATACGATGATCTTCTCCAAATCTAGCAAGCCTCGTTCAATAATATACTTTTAAGTGTAATAGTTGGTTTTTTAATGTATTTTTTTGGTGCGGTTTTCAAGCATGACTCAATTAAGATCCAAGGAACTGATACGTTTCCTGTGCATAATCACACCGCAAAATGTTAAGCCTTTTGAGTATCACATTTACAGATAAAGAGAAATGTACTTCTGGTTGGGTCTAAATTAGCTGATGCAAAGAACGAGTCTAAGTTACTGATTGTGTCGTATTGTGGGAGAAGATAAATTGTAGTGGGAGAGTTTGGCAAAAGCGTATCGTTCAGAGACGATACGTTTCCCTCTTATGATAATGATTGGGCAAGTGTGAATTTTTCTGTATCAAGGGTATGAGAAAATATATCTTTAAATAACAGGAATGATGAAGGTTTCGCACACTTCGCAAATGCGCTACAGATCTGTCCGTTTCTATATGTTTTCAAGATGTTGGGCTATATAAATGAAAGTTATCAAACGTAGTTCTCGATTTGATCAAGACTTTCTGTCGGAACGCGATCAGAACCGAAAGGAACTATTCTGGCGATTTATTGTCTCAAGGATACGGAATTCGATCAGCTGCTTCAATTTCGAAATCGCAGTATTTCATTGATTGTTGGTTTACGAATATGAACATCGAGCATAATTAATTCCTGTATTCCGTTTCTTTCCACATGAAGTTTAACTAATAATATCCTAAGAATAACGCCGAATAGGCACATGTATCCAATGCAAGTTCTATTGCATAGTAGTTACGACTAGATGTGTATAGTCAGACACCGTGATAGGGTATACTTGGTATAGACTAAGCATTGAATACAACTTTTCACCCGATTATTAAAGAAAGTTATTCTACTGTCTTCAGGATGGGGTATAACGGTAAGATCTTCCTGTGCATGATAAAAATCGCTCGATGATAAGAATATACTTTATTGAGACTCTGTCTAATATCTTACCATTTTCAATTCTTCGTGTTTCTTTGTATTTTTTTACCAATGTCACCAATCTCGGTATAATCAGACGCAAAATAGTTATTAATCCACCCAAAAGACCAATCAGTGCTGTTATAACATAAACTATGCTATTCTTTGCTTCATGTATGTAACTACATTCCTTTGGTTGACATTCATCATAATAGTTTTTGTATGTAATTGAAATATTCCATTGTTCGATCATTAATTCATCAAGAAGTTGTTCGATTGTTGAGTTAATCGAGTAATGTGTTGATAATGATGAATCGAGAGAAGTAAGATTGATTGATGTTGATGAAATGAAATAGGATTGTAATTGATTTAAACAATTTCGATCATAGAAACATTGCAAATTGGACTGAAGAAGAGCCTCAACGATGAAACATCCTCGATACATGCCAGGTACCGTGTAAATAGGTGTAGTATTCGGATAGTTGAAAATTGGAAACGGTCTCAAGCATTTCGCGGAGACGATACAGCTGCAATTTGAGTATGAATATCCGCCTCTAGCTAAAGAAGCACTTCCAGGTAGTATTACCAATTGGTAATTGGTTACTAATGCAGAATAAAGACCATTACTCTGAGTTGTGCTTCTTATGGCGTTCAACGAAATAATGAAGGTATTTGTGATTGACGATTTGAACTGATCGACGAGTACTTGAACTTGTGAGTTGAACAGATCTACTGGCGTCACTGTCGTGCTCACATACTGATTCAATGAAAATGTTATCAAATTATCAGTTATCACTTTGTTCGCTAGTTCACAGAAACCAGCCAGTGTTGAAAATGAATTTGCACTTGACCAACGAAAATCCGAGGAAAAGAACACCTCGTCTTGGAAAAAATTGATGATATATTGAATCCATTGTAGAGTGACATACATGCTGGTACACACTTGATGTAATGTGTAATCAATGTGAAGAAACGTGTCATAGTTGGTTAGTATTTTTGTACATGGACATGTTAATGATTGTGAATAAAGTGAATAATGTTGTAAATACTGATCATATGTTGGATTTGGAATGGTCGATGTTTGAATGATTGTAATGAGCGAATTGTATAAGAAGAGAATGATCAATGAAGAGAGAAGAAAGAAAATGAATATTCTTGTTGATATCTTTTGATTTCGAAGTTGATGTTGATCAGTTGTAGGTGGAATTGACTCAAACAGATTTAACGTAGAAGCGTAGTTGGCAAATTTTCGGTGAGCGTTAAAAATGAATTGAATGATGGTAGCCACTGTAGATATATAAGAATATCAGAGTTAAAATTAATGAAGTAGATGTGAGTTGTTATATGTTGTATATATCGATGAAAATGCAGCGCAGAAATAGAGAGAAAAAGAAGAATTTTTGTTACTATATTGCGATAGAAGCTGAAGATGGAGACCTCATTTCACAACTAGTATACATCATTTGGTATCAATTCCGTACCCATATAGTCTTTGAGCGTAAGAGAGTAAAAAAAAACTTCGTGAATAAGTCGGAAAGGCATGAGAAACGATGGACTAAAACCTTACTTTTTTTCTCTACATGATAGGGCTCTAGTGCACTATAAGTATCATAGTAATAGAAAGGAAAAGTTCAACCTTTGGACGTGGTTAGTTTCACTATCGACGTTTTGTATTCTGTTGTGCTAACGATTCGATACGTGGCGTAGATGTAAGATCCTTATGCGATTAAGGAAAAGAGGCATATGCACACACTTTCACAGTTAACATCAAAGGGAAAATATATAACTCAACTTCTTACTTGTTGAAAGTGTAAGTTCAGCAGAGATATTCTTTGGTTGAAATTTATATTACCGGATGAGAAAATGCAAATATTGGTTTTCTTCTGGACTAGTAATAGAGCGAAATAGTCTTTAGAAGAAATAAGATGAATACTAACACAGTTTGATATAGAAACAATTTGATGATAGTCAGATTTATCAATTTTCAGATGATATATGTGTCACAATGAGCTTCGATATAAATAGTAATGAAAACATAGGTGTGAGAAAACAAAAATATAGCTGAGCAAGACTTTCTCTATGCATAGAATATGAGAGATAAAGGAAATGAAAATGCTTCACTATAATGATAATGGACATGAAATGAAAAAAGCTCTTAAAAGAAGTTTATCGGAGAGGAAGAAAGTGGACCGATTAAGAAAAGAATATCAATTGTAAAGACCATTAGAGGGCAGTGCGCTCTGTTCTTCTTCTAGAGAAAAAATTTCTTCTTCATGTCTATTCTTTAGATCGACGCATTCAGGTACAAAATGGAACACGATAAAACTATTGATCTCGATCATTTTTATGACGATATAATAGAGTGAAAATTTCTTTCGGAAAACATTGATGGTGATGGATCCTAATAGAATGATAAATTTCTACTAGTTATGAGTACAATTAATAAAAAAAGATTTGAAAATAAAACGTAGTCAAGTCATTCGTTTGTGGAGAATGATTATCACATATATCCATAGAAAAAGTTCTTGTTCACTGCTTTTCCTTCGCAAGGTAGTTAATGAGTAATTTGTTTTATTCATCGGTTAAAGAATGTACACTTATGATCCATCGAAATAAATATCTATGTTTGCCGCTAAACTAAACAGCCCAGATAAATAAATAAAGAATCCGTGACACGACATTTCCGCGCGCGACATTACGGCGCATGTGCAAAATGAGGGTGAGGGCGTCGCGGAAGTGTCGTTTATACATTACGCGCCGAAATGTCATGCGCGGATATATCGTGGAACCCATATGAGTGATTTTTGGCCATAGTATGGAATCAATTTGAATTTGAGACTTGAGAACAATCAGAATAAGAAAACAAAAGTATTACATGTAGAATAGATCTACGATACTATTTGATCTTTTTCGTGTATAATAGGATCACATTAGCTATCTCGAGGAAGATTAATACAAAACTCTATGTATTCTATGAAGTACTTCGTTTTTACAAGATTTCTTCTGATTTATTAAGATAATATGGATCCGTGATGGAGGGAATGGTATGATAAAATACTGAAATAACAGTATATAATCGAAAACAATGGCAATTTGTTTCAATATCATCGATCTCTGATGAAAATTATTTCAATATATTTTATTATCCATAATCTGAATTTTTGGTCTTTGCATGAAACACATAGGTATTAGAGATACCTATAAAATAGTTTTATGTAATTAAATTACAGAATAAAGAAGAACAGAAGATATTCATCTCTACCCTGTAAATAACCACGAAGAAAAACTAAATAATTATATCCAATTTATTTTATTTTATGAACAATCCTTGTTGCAAAAGTCTTCGTACAAAATGTTCAGTCATTTTTCGAGCGCAAAGCTACTTGTAAGGATTAAAAGCAGAGATGGGGAAGTCAAGTCTGACTTGACTTGACTGGACTTGAGCTTTGTCCTGTAGGTTAAGTCACAAGTCGACTAAGGAAAACCGATCTAATTATCAATATCAGATGAAAGACAAAAAAATAGTTTGATAAATTATGCATAACTACCAGGTTGGTAAGACTTTGTAGTTACTTTTCAACATGAATTATGCCACAATTAGGTCAAAAAAGCATTTGACTTGGCTTCAAGTCAGACTGAACTTGACTTGTAAAAACCTCTGATTTGCTCATCTCTGACTAAAAATAAGTAATAAGAATTAGAATCTTTGCCTAATTTCAGATTGATTTATTATGAGTAAACATTTTCGCAAGAATCGAAAATGATATTTGTAGAAAATTTTGTTGTTGTCAATTTTATATTTTGATTGATATTCAATCAACTGAAAGTGTGAAACGCTTTTACATATTATTGTTTTGTAGAGCAAGGTTTGTTTCTACAAAATGTGATGTCTAACTTTCTTTTATGTTTCATGGGTGAGATTTAAAACCCGTTGCACTTAAAAAAAGTGGTTTTTGCAAAATTAGCGTTTTGAGAAATATCGATACACGGAAAAATAGCTCTTAGAAAAATGAATATAATTGTTATTTAGTTCAAACTTTGATTTATTGCAATACCTTATTTTGTAGACAATTGAATACTTTACAATAATACTCAGTTGAAACTGTCGAAAAATACGATCTATTCAAATTATAGATTATGCAAAAACCCCTTATTATGCTCGTATAAACACTATTTTCGATTCTTGCAAAAAACTTTACTCATAATAAATCAATCTTAAAAGAAACAAAAAATTCTCCCTCTTATTACCTACTTTTATTCCTCACAAGTAGCTTTCGTGGGCTTGAAAAAGGACTGAACATTTTGTATGAAGACTTTTGCAACAGAGACTAGTTTGAAAATCTTCATTATTTTCACATTGTTCAAATGAAATGATTATTTTTTTAAAGAATCTATTTAAATAACTAATTAATTCAAAAACCATTGTTACAGAACAAGGTATTCTGATAATTATTTTATAAATATGACATAGATCTCCGTAGAGTCAGAATGATCTGTCCTATGAAAAACAGTGTCAGAGTGACTATAGATGTGAACAGTTACGAATCAGAGAAAAAGGTTATTTTTCTTCATATGTTAACAGCGTTATCGAATGGTTTTACTAATCTTTGTTGATTAACGCATCTTTTATTATCAAGAGCATCACATCGTTAAGAAAGACGACATTGTTCTTCTTATGTTGTCAAACTAATACTACAAATACCATTGAATTTTTAGAATACAGTCACAATCGATTTCTAAACGGAACAATTAGAGATACACGATACTTTCTTAATAGATAATGATTTTCTTATCACATATTTAGTCTACGTAATTGTCAAATAAATGATTATGGAACATTGTACAAACACCTGTAAACATCAGCTGTTCAGAATTACTTCGTACAATCTCACTATAAGTATTTCAACAAATTGTATGATGTTCACATTCAAATTGAGTCATCAAATGCTTTATCACAATATTTGAAGAAGTAAAACTATTCTTTTTTCATTGATGAAATCAAATCTGTTCGTATTACTCAAGTAATTCTACAAGATTCTCTTTCTAATTGTGTATGTGTTCAATTTTGGGGTGAAGTAATTAATAGTAAAATGTATATTTCATTAAATTCATCGAGATCTATTTTTAGAATGAATATGTGTCTTCCTTTATTCTAAAACTGAAGATTTCTGAAAACAAAATTCAAAAGAATCACTTGATTTCTCAACTTCTATTATTCAATGAATATTCTTAATTGAGTTGATTTGTTGAAAATATTAGAATTCATGAGATTTCAATATTCATTTTGCTATAATACAACACGAATTTTCATTCAATTCAAGTTGAAAATATTTTTTCTAATAATTTCATGTCCAATGAATTGTTTGAATAATTTGAAAAAAAAGTACTCCATAATTATTACACTGATATAAATCACTGGCAATATTGATTAAAAATTCGATGAGACAATGTCGACAACCGTTGACTTTTAAAGTAACGAAAAGTAATGGAATATTTCCATCTTTATCTTTTTGACATAGATGTCATAAAATGCCGTTACGACGGGTATCGTCAGCCGAACCTCACGATACGCTCACCCTGATCAACGAAAAAACATGCGTATCGACATCACCGTATCCTATCCATGGGTAATCATTTCAATACGCCAGCAAAAACACAACAAGACGTCGGTTTGAGGAACTTGAGTGGATTTGTCGTATTCACCACGATACGATCGTCTCGATCCATTTGAAAAGCTGAGGGATTGAGTGAGTTTGTCGTATCCACTACGATACCCATATTCCTCATCGATCTAGCAAACCTGAGGAATATGAGTTGATTTTGCATAATGATTTAATTGCTGCACGAATGAACTAATTCTATTCTTCAAGCACAAGAGTAATAGCTATTTTACGACACGATTGTGTTTATATTCATATTCAAAACGTTTTATGAAAGAAATTATACGCGATACTTTTAAATTCAAACTGAATATATATATACTCATGTTCACGCATTGGGTTGTCATAATATAATGGAAAATATTGGATGATAACGTTAGTAATGATAAGTTAATAGAATAATCGGTCATAAAATATTAGTTCATATATTTGAAATATTCAAAACATCCGAAGAAAATCATAACATTCTTTCATTATATTTCTATGTACGTATCCATTACATCCCCTCAATACCTCAGCTTTTCAAATCGATCGAGATGTGCGTAGCGTGATGGATGGTGGAGAGGAACGTAGTATGGTATTGGAGCGAATACGATGGATTTTGATGAATACCCGTCGTACCGATATTATGACATCACTCCTTTTTTATCAGTTAATTTTGAATCTAATCGAAATAATTGTTTAATCCATTTACATTCTTTCTTTTTCAATAAAATAAATATCATTATCGAACTTTTTAACCATGACAAATGAAAGGATTTTTCATGAAGAAAATGATGAAAAATCCATCGTCGATAACGAGTTCTAATGATAATATTCATCAATTGTCGACAATAATCTTCTCCAGAAAGAAATTTTTGCATCAAATGAACGTGATTGAAAGTATATTCAATAAGATTTTCAATTAAAATCTTTTCATCCCCATAGTTTTCGATTGGAGAAATAAAATATTCACAATTCAAACATGATTTCATATTTTTCTATGTTAATTGACATAAAAGTCACATGAGAATAGAAGTTTTGTAATTGAAGGATTCCATAGATAAGAGAAGAATACATTGGATAATCATTATTATCTTTATTATTAATCAAATCTGGATTTGATATAATTAATAATTTTTCAAATAAACGAAGAAAAGATTGATCCAACAGTATAAAGATGAGGTAAGAAATCTCGATTGAAAGAGATTGTATTCTTGAAATTCATAATGAGAACATTGAAGAGGAGCACCAGTATCAACAAGAAAATGATTGACCTGTTTAAGTGAATTTTTATTGAATAAATTGAAATTTAACTCATTGAATGCTTTTCTCAAATTCATATCTCGTAAATGAATTTCTTCTTTTGTTAAATGATAACGAATTAATTCATATTGTTTTCGATCGGATTGAGATTGATTAAGTTCAGATGTGAAATCATTGATTTTTAATGAATATAATCGTTGGGAGATTTCATTTTAAATAACCAAGTTTCATAATAATATTTGAAATTTTTGTCTCGAATATTGATTCGTAAGAAATCAGTAAGAAGATGAAAACGTTTGAAAAATGAAAATGGCATCGGCAGAACATCGGATAATTAACATGAGAATTTCATCAGATAAACTTTCTGATAACACAACATGCACAATTTCTTCAAATGACAAATGACGTCAATTCTGTGCTCGGTTATTTCGCAAGATTTTCTTTTCATTCTGTTACATAGTGAAGAAAAAACAATAATTAAACGGTATTTTGAGAACAATGACAAACCATTTTTCGAAAAATCATTTTGAATAAATCGAATAAAGCATTTCGAAAGATATTTCCACCAGCTAATGTATAAATATAAAATGGAATTCCACTTGCTGTAAAATTTAAAAGTGTAAATAAATTTAAAATAAAATTTGCAATTGCAGATTGTAACGATGAAGATGTTTGATTAGATATTATTGATGTATAGGATTTTTGAATTCCATGTGGACATGTTAAAATCACCAATAAAGTCACTTGAACACCAAGCATTTCAAGTAAATGTTTTTCCGTCTTTTTATTATGTTTTCCATGAATATGTACCGTTGTTGTTGGACGTTCATGACTCATTTCAATCATTGTTACATTCAAAATACGTTGTCGTGTTTGACGAATATTTCGAATAGTTAAACAACCAAAAATAATCATCAACACCAATGGAAATAATGTTGTAGCTATTGTATAGATAAAATCAGTGATTAAACGACAAGGATATGTTGTACCATAACAACCTCGAAGAGTTCCAGTTAAATTTGCTTGATAACAATAAAGAATTGGAATATTAAGAAGAATTGCATAAATATGAACAATGAAAAGACTTCGTTGAGCATTTTTTAATGTACTTCGTTGTCTTTTATGAACATTTGTACTTGATGCCAACCAACGATCAATTGTTGCAAATGCAATTGACCAAAGAGTGATTGTTCGAGCACTATATAACACATAATTACGAATTTTACAAATCCAATCAACTGTTGTTGTCATATCAATTGAATAACCAGCCATCATTCGTGTTGTTAAACCGCTGATAAGCGCAATAAGACCTGATATCGATGAAAACATAAAGAAAAGAGCTGATGGATTTAATCGAAGTGGTCGTTGAGATAAAACGAGAATATTTAGAAGATTTCCAGTAATTCCAAATGTATAAATAAATATTGGAAAATAACGATTAAGTGAATCGGATGCATTATTCCACGAATTTATCAAATTCGCATTTATATCCAAAGAACTCATTTGGAAAATATGGAAAAAGATTCTTCAATATTTCTGCGCTGTTTGAAGTATATCATCAACATTTGTATTACAAGTAGAGAATATCTTTGATTCAGAAGACAAGATCTTTCTTACGGAAAAGAAAGTTTTTGACAAGTCATAGTCTATATGGATGCAAATGACAGCTGGAAGATCATTAATCCAGAGGCAAATATTCTTTTAAACAACGAATTTTAAATTAGAAATATGTTTAACAAAAGATTTTCTATTTATAAGACTTTATTTAACATTCAAACCTTCATCCGTGCGTTTATAAAAAGAAATCTCGTTTCACATCATTATATTTAAGGAACAGTATTGTGTTATTTACTGATTAAAAAGAAGTCCGACGGCAAGTCTTAAAAGATTCTCTCAAATGACATAACGAGTTGAATTCATGAAATGGGCAAATGGTTTTTGTCACCTGTTTATTCTTTAACCCCTTCCGTCGGCTCCGAGAAGATAAGAAGAACAATATGAATACTGCATCTTCTACGTGAATGTCACTATGTTCCATCTACAAGTTCAAAGAACTAACACAAATCTGCCTGTCAACATCCGGTCGGAAGGATATAAAATGTTAGAAAAGCTCATTTATTGTTCTTTTATAAATGACCAATCATTTGGCGACAGTTTTATTCTATATTGTCAAATTGAGAATATTTAGCTCATCTATCTGTTTCATAGAAGTGAGATCTAATCAGGAACTGAATATACGATGTCATCAATGAATAGATCGACACAATTGTGCAGAACTATGCAATAGAAGAACGTCCTTCTGTGTCATTTTAATCTTTGTCTATTGAAATTTTTGTTCACTGAATTTTCGGAGAAAATCTTTTGTTATGATGAAATTTATTTGACCTATATTCTCTTGTAAATATATATGATGACCGATTCATCGTAGATTAGCACTTTATGTCTTTGTTCTCTCGAATAGAAGAGAATAAAGATCTATNTGGATTATTTAATCCTGACAATTTAACTGAACCAATTCATTCACAAAAAACATCTTATTGGCTTTTAGAAAATGATCAATGGAGAATAATTGGATTAGATACTGGTTATGATTCATTTTCTTTATTAAATATTGATAATTCATCTATTAAATTACCTGATCAATTAATGAATTGGTTAATAAATATTGTTGGTCTTAATTCACAAATGAATGATAAACGAGGATTAATTTTTTTCTCTCATCATCAAGTTTTAAGTGCATGGAATGAAAAACCAAATACAGGTTAAAATATTTATTAAAAATTAATTGTTTATTTCAAATTTTTATTTGTAGATTTTCAATCTCAAATTGCATCTTTATTACCAGAAGGACGAACAATTTTATTTTTATGGGGTCATGAACATCGTTTAAGTTTTTATGAAAAACAAACAATAAAAACTTCATCAAATCAAAGTTTAACATTTTATGGTCGTTGTATTGGAAATTCAGGTTTTCCAACTTTAGCGAAAGAACTTCCAAAGAAATCTCGTGAAACTAAATTATTATTTTATGATGATCGACTTTATCATTTTCATAATAATTTATTTTTACCTGATCTTCCTTTAGGTTATAATGGATATGCAACAATGAAATTTATTAATACAGATCAAATATCTTTGATTATTCAATATAAAACATTAAGTTTAACAAATGATGGACAATTAACACATGAAAATCCAACTTTACTTCTTGAAGAACAATGGTCTGTTGATATAAATGGAAATGTTCTTTTAAATAATATTCAATCTTTTAATAATCAACTTACACGTACTGTACATTCAGATTCAATTCAACCAAAAACTAAACGACCAACTTGTTGTACAACGCTGTAAAATTTTATTCTTTTTTTCAATAAATTAAAGATTGTAGAAAAGAAACACATCAACTAAGAACAAAAACATGTTCTATCAAAGAAGAGCGGATGCTCCTCTCTGTATGAAAAATAGATGATAAAGGCAAAGTTTGGTCAATGTGACAAAGTAGTTCGAATTTCATGTAGGTACGAAGTACGTAAGTTTCGACAATGTGTTACAAATCAATATTATTAATCATCCAAAGAGAATCTTTACGATATCCATATTTTTACTGATTTACCGTTATATAGAATGATAGAAACAGTAATAATAACAAAGTAAGGATGTCGACCTTGAAGAGTTTCATCATCGTAACACTTTGCGTTTGTTCTCTTATAAAACAAGAACGTAAGATACCTTTGAACAAGATTCGACTTTTCCTTAAGTGGATTCATTTCAGTATGGTTTTATCCGTACTAACACTGGTTTCACAAATAAAATTTCGAAAAAAGCATTCCCTTTACTTCCAAAAAGCCGAGCCGATTCGTCTACCAATCATTGATCTCAACTCCAAGACTAGTTCAGATCAAACTTATAACGAGCTGTATCGATTCCAGTCATAAAACTTTTCACCCTCGCCTGTCCTTGAATTCAATTTTGGATAAATCCGAAGGAAGAATAAATACAACGAATATGAGAACTGGTGGAATCATATATTTTTGGTATGGGTAACTGTAGGCTGTTTAAAACCATTGTTTTATATATAGTGAATCTTTATTGACAAAGGAACGTTCTCGAAATTCAGTTTTCACCTATGGGAATGTAATCCATAAGGCGTAAAAAGAGTTGTGCCTACTCAAAAACTATTATTAGTTTTCAGATAACTGCTTTTACATCTCAATATTAGAAATTGATAATAGTTTTTGAGTAGGCGCATCTTGTATTTGGCCTTATGGATTACATTCTCATAGGCGAAACTGAATTTCGAGAACATTTTTCTTTCAATAAAGACAAACAATATATTCACTATATATAATGCAATGATTTCAAACAGTTTTCAATTGTATCTACTAGACATATATGATCATATAACAATGGAATTCATCGATCAATTTTTCATATTTCCTGTATATGTGTTTCACATCAGTGCTGACATTCCATGCTTCCTTTCTCGTCCGTCTGACTTCGCTCGTGTGGCATTTGGTGAAGAAAATGAATCAATAGTCTCTTCTAAATCACATGATATCTGGAACTTTCCTCACTTTCCGTTCGATCATGACAACTCATCTTACGGAGCACCATTAGTGAATTCCTGGTTCCATAACTGTGTTTTATGTGGAAGACCATCCACTCGCTATTATTATCGAATACCAGCTACATCACGATGTGTTCTTCAATCTAAAACATATTCGTTTGAGGCAATATCGCCTTTTGGTATAATTAATCCAATTAATATTACCATAATAGGTGACTTAGGAAACGACGAGAAAATGAGGCATAATTCTACCACGCTAGCCATCAAGGTTTCAGCCGAGGACACAGACTTTTTTCTGCACCTCGAAGATATTTCTTACGTTGATAACCTTATGTGGTATTTATTCAATTATGGTTCGGTTCACGTCGTGACTGTTGACATCGAAACCAATCTTTCGGATGCATCGCAGCCGGCCCCGTTACTCTTCTCAATGGAACTGAATCGTATTCGTCACAATGTTCCGTGGATTATTGTTGTGGATCATAGACCATTTTTGGGTAATGCACCGTACCATAACCTCATCATGAACCATAGAGATAATTGTGATTCATGTCAGAAAGCTTTTGCTGAGGTATTTTATAACTTCAATGTTGACTTCTACTTTTGCGTTCATGTTTATTGGTCCGAACGTCGTCATCTATTCAATGGTGACTCACTAGGTAGAGCTGCAGAAGGTGCAAATACGCTGAATGCGACGAGGAATGGCACTACATCAGCGAATATTATACCTGATACCTATGACTATACACGATGAGAAATAAAAGATTCTTTTCATTGTTGACTAATTTTTCAAAATTCAATAAAAATCTGACACTAAAATACGGTTTTCTCGAAATCTCGGGTTTGTCATAAAATCAAATCAAATATGGAACTGCTTCTTTCTATTTTTATACACGATTCAATTGACGAATATGATATTCCAAAGAATTCGTTTTCGATAAAAGAGACAAATTTTTTCAATATTTTGATCAATGTGCATGTTGCATCAAATGCAAATAATCCCATTTGATGGATTTCTTCTATTTCAGGACGTGTTTCTGCTCATGATGTTCTTTCCAGATATTAAATACATCTGTTCATAATGCTTCATTGATATTTTCATCAATTTTGTTAATAAACCATCCAAGTTTTCATAATATGTTCAATTAAATAAAACAACATACGACTTGGAATTCATAGAAAATGTAGACCAACAAGATAATTTTCAAGTGCTTTTTGTAAAATTCAAATTATATGAGAATCTTTTATTCATCATAAAACAATTCGTGATGAACTACAAGATAGAATTTCTTTAAAATTACCACCAGGGTGACCAGATCTTCCGCTTTTTGCGGAAAATTTCCGCTTTTCGGCCTTTTTTCCGCAGTTTTTCCGCACTTCCGCTTTTTTCCGCTTTTCGCTGAACATGTGAACATCGTTGTGGAAAGACTAGAACCAGTGGACCAAATAAAATTCGAAATTTCGATGTTTGACTCAGAAGGTTTCTTTCTCAACGCCAATTGGCTAAACAGAGTAGCCACTCTTCGTACTAGTTGTTCAGATCGGATCAGCTATGGGCGATGTTATTCGCCGTTCATCCAACACCAACTCCAAACATGAAGAAATTAGTTTGTTTTATTTATTCGATTCCTGCGAGCAACGCCTATGTGGAGAGCGTCTTCTCCGAGATGGAACATTTGTTGAATGACTTTCGTAATCGAATGTGTGTAGATTCCATCGCTGCTGAATTGAGCATTCGAAGAAATGCTCGCATTCCATGCACTAACATATACAATTATTTATTATCCCGAAAAGAATTGCTAACAGCAATCAGTGCCAATCGCAAATACAAAGTGAAAGATTAAATTAGCCAGTGAAATATCTCTTTGTATTGCATCTTCTATGTTTTGAAATTGAAATTTAGTTGGAATAAAGAATGTGAACGATGCAAAGGCTTTGAAATCCTTATCAGTCGTAAGAATTAGCAACAAGATTTTGTTTTCCGGATTTCTTCTGGTTTTCTCACCGACCGTTTCCGCTTTCCTCGATAGATTTTCCGCGTTGCACGTCTACACATCTGGCCACCCTGATTACCACACATATCCAATGTTACAATATTAGAAACTAATGTATCAACAACAATTAAACAATCTTTATTGAAAACATCAGTAGAATGAGTTCACAGAAATACTAACTAATTCAATAAAAGGCACAAAATGATATGAAGGTGTGAAAAGTAATTATTTCCAGTTGAATAATCTTAGTAGATTTACATAAACAAGAATCTCAATAGGTCTCAAAAGACATTTATCAATGCACTCGATCGGATGATTTGAGACGAAAGGAGTTCACAAAAATTTCCTTTTCTGGTAAATTCAAATTGACTATTTTATCATAACATATTCAATTCACATCGATATGTGAAAGTCGCCATAAACGAGAAAGTCAAATTTATAAAACACGTCGTTTAATTTAGTTGAAATCATATGTCTCCAATGTCGAAATGTAAGATTTATTTTTCTGAAAAAGCATATTTTTTTGTCATCTACTGAAAAAAGTATATCCGATAGAAGACAGAATCATATAGTAACATCAATTCTTTTTTTTGAATAATCTGTGAGTTATTCGTTCAATCAGTCTCATTATCAAACTCTGAGCCGTGATTTGAATGAAGTTCACTCCAGTCTATTGGTTGATATACGTCCTTGGATTGAAATACACTTAGATCAATTCTATCGTATATACTTACTGCAGTTATATTTACACTATATTGTCCCACCCGATTCTGGTGATATATTGACTTTTTGAATGTATGAAAATGTTCTTTTCGCACAAAATACGTTTCATTTTGTTTACGAAATCAATGAAAACAGAAGATATTGTTTTTTCATTTTAAGAAGTGCTTTCAAGAATTTTGAATCTTAAATTATAAATCGAAAAGAAAAAAAAGGAGTAGAAATCATGACAATTTTTGTTTTTATTTTAAAGACAAAGAAGCATTGGAACTTTTCGGTCGTATTTATGAAAAGAAAAGCAATCGAAATGCGAATACTTTAAGATAAGAGTATTGTGTATTTAAAAAAGAAACGAAAGTTCATTTTCAAAAACAAATACATCACCTCCCTTTTTTTTAAAATGTCTGCTGAATTGCGTCATCTATTTTTTTCTATATAAACACGCTAAAATAATCGACGTGCATTTCATTTCTTCTTTTCATCAGAACGAACGTTTAAACAATGGTTGGTACTTTTTCTCTCATCCTTTTTGTACTGCAAGTTTCATTTGTGCATCTTTCCCATTTCTATGGGGGAACAATAACAGCGTGAGTTTCTTCTATATTTCGCGTATATTTTTTTCGAATATCAATTTCAGGCGTCCTTACAATAATTCGCAAACCACTGGTACAATACAGATGATAGTGCGTGAACGATGGTCATGGCGTACTACGTACTATCCCGTAGCCTCACGTTGTACTTCTGCTATCATTGCAGCACAAACCCCGATGATTGGTGACAGTAGTCCTGTCTCTTGTATATCTGGTGCTGCTTGTGGTTCTCATTGGAGTACTGGTGGTGCGACAATGAACACACGTACATGGTGTACTGATTTTAATACTGCTCTCAATACAATGTCTGGTGAATACTATGGTTATTTTCCAATACCGATCAATTCTGCGTTCAGTGTTCGTTTCTCTAGTAACGCTTGGCTTAATGCATTAGGTGCAGGAACTGGAACTTTATCGTGGAGTGTTGTTAGTCGAATTAGTACAATTCTTCGACCGGATGGTTATTTAAATACAAGTCCTGTTGCTGTTTCACTTCCAATTATCTACAAACAAACAAATATTCTACATACACATGTTGTTCAAATGTCTGATTTTGATGGAACTGATATATTAATATTTCGTTGGTCAACTTCAGCAGGAAATGTG